CCGCCATTTCCATAAAAAAGCCCAGCTGAGAGTAAACCAATACCAGGGTCCACCACCATCCTGGCATTAAACTATTTGCATGATAGCAAATCACCTTCTGGCCCACAAAAACGACGTCTGCTTGTGACGGTGACGACCTGGGGTAGAATTTTGCTAGGCTAACCTCGGAACACCAAGGAACAACAGAAATTAAACCAGGAAAACTCTGAAAAAATAGAAACTATGCTAAGGTCAGCACAATCGGTGAGAATGTGCTATCTAAGTATCCAAGTAAGTAAGTAATGTTCATATGACCACCGATTTCCACCGAGAATTAGTTGCGGTAACATTAGCATATTCTAAATCTATTTTGCAATTCGCCGTAAACACCTTCACGAACACCCACTGTAGCTTCAGCTGAATTTTGCAAGTGAATCGCGACCTCGGCGCATTACATAACATGGACTTGTTGACATGCAGACACAGTGGAGAATTTTAAGCGCTATTCAGGAGTCATCAGTCTATGTTCATATTCTACTGCAATCGCATTTTTAAATTAGATTACTAACTAAATCGTCCAAAAATAAACAGTCAATCAGCCTTACAAAGTTCGTCGTCACCATACCAACGCCTATGCGAACAATCTACGATTCAACCCCCAGAAGCGATAGCGGTCATCGTTCAGATCAAAGGTGTACTTAGTTCGACTTCAAATTGCTTTCTTCTGAGGCTCAAACTCAGGCAGAGCGCTTGAATTGATGCCGGCTCACTTATGACTGATTCCACCATTCCCTTTTACTTACTCGTTTACCTCGCTATTTCATGTGCAATCCGTTGAAGAATAATTGCTGTTTCTCAAGAAAAAGATTTGCTGTTTTTATACACCTATACAATTTCTGAAGTGTAAGATAGTAGGCTTCGTAATCACCCCGTCCAGTGACATGGTCATGCCCTTCTTGTTTCCACATTCGTTTTTCGATGTTCCTCTATCAAGTTAAAGTATGACTCCGTTAAATATTGTCCATACGAATTCGCGTTTTTATCCAACTACTTCTGTTTCACCTATTGCAATGCGGCGCATCAACGTTCAGGTAGTGCTTCGTGCTTACCGGATGGATAGAGATTTAGATTTCCCGGCGTTTTCTACCGCGCATCATTTTGTATTTGTATTTGTATTTGAAGACAAGGCTATACTTTACTATATTCGTCGTTCATTCAATACTGTCCAGTTTCATTGACGCAAAGATGGCTGCTATTACTGGTGATGACAGATTTTGCTTATAAAATTATACTAGGTACATCTTCAGCGGTCAGCTTAATTGTAAATTGATAAGGTTTTCCTACTGTCATCTGCATCACTTATCGTCACTCACTTAACTCGCTTGTAACTCTAATAAGCTAGTGAAACCTCCGTTCGTCTTCAACGCTTGTCTGACCTGATCAATTGGCTGGTTTGCTCGAGGAGAATGGTGTTCACCACACTCTTCATATGAAGCCGTTTATTTGAACTGGTTATGGAAATATGGTCAGAGTAGTGGTCGACTAATCCGATAGGGCCTGTTTCGGTATTCGCTCATTCTAAGTTAGGCTTTCATATAGAATAATAAAAATCTTTCTCGGCTACGATCACACCACTAAAAGGGAGGAATGCTGCTGTGCACTTCAGTTCGTCAATCATCAGAAACGAACTAACAAAGCAGACGATCTTGGAGGGCAGGGTGTTTATAATGTGCCCATTAAAAACTAAACAAGTCGCTGATAATCCTGAGGACTACTTTTTGCCTTTTATTAACAATGCAGAATAGTTTTGAAAATAGAAAATTTAGTTGGCTCTCAACAGTTATGATTACCAAAGTAAAGTAGGATTCTGTTCTGAAAAATAAGCGGAACTTTTGTTGAACCTCAGTATCACTTGTCGTTCTAAAAAAAGTCCCATTAGACGCGACAGCGTAAGGGTTTCAACGTCAACGTCATCCAAGTTTGCCATCTTACCACGCGTGCATAGCAAAGTGCCTTGTTTATAGCGCTTTTTTCTAATTATATAGGAAAGGCTTTAATTCAAAAGCGAGAAGAAACTAAGCTCGAATTGGACTAAGAGTATAAAAGTTCCCATATAATTTGTAGTCATGAACGAAAGATTGCTTTATATGCATCCGCTGTTGGTTCAGATACGTTGCCATTCAGCTCATAATGCTGTTCGCTCCCTCGTTGATGTGGTGGAACGACATAGCTATGGCGCTTCTTTTTCGAACCATAAACGCTTTCAGTTCAATCTCACTCCAAGCGATTTGGTTTCTTCTGAAGTCAAAGTGGTTTTTTAAATAACTAGTCGAGTTTATTACACATCTACCGGAATGTGGGTTCGCCACGAATCGTTGGTCCATGTCCGTGTTCGCTGGAGGATTTTTAGATGCACTAGGGTGAGAGATAAAGAATGGCGGAAAAAAGCGCCCACTTTTAGGAATGCATACGCACCTATATCACGGCGTATGTTAGTTCACCAAAGAATAAGATAAATAATCTTATCTTATCAAGCAACTCCTATACTAAGTTGCTGATCCCAGCTAGAATGAAGACTTGATTTTTGCAACACTTGGAATAGAACCAATAATGGTGTGTGCAATGCGCGGCACTTCCAGCCACTTCACTACGGGCCCTGCCTTCTAATTTCATGAAGGTATATTATTTGAAATAGGGACTGTGGAAGGATAAAGCGTTTACCAAAGCAAGTGGACTGAGAGTGCAGCTTTCCTTGTTGGTGGATATAACACTTCATCAGCTAGTTAGTTACTGTTACTACTCTGAAATTTTGTAAACATGTACTGCCGGCTTAGAATATAATAACCGATATTGGTATTTACATATTCTTAATGCAATGGCCGGTTTCCAATATTTTCACCCAGAGCTCTGGAAATTATGGGAAGAAAAAGTGGCCTGTGTCATTGTGCTTGCCGAAAACAGTGTCTGCAGGTAATCCTCAAGAGCACATGGATAACAAGGGCATGTCAAGAAAGAATATCGGATGGGTAGAGCTTTCTTGTCACCTTCCCATTTCACTTGATGAGTTCTGACTGCAACATGCAGACCATGCGGAAGGAAAGTAGTGATGTGTTAAGACTTTCGTTTTTAATATAGTCGTTTATCTCCGGTGGTGATCGGTGCAGGAGGAGGGTATAACATCGCTTAGGGTTTTTACCAGTTCACAACAAACCTCATTTAAAATCAAATCATGTAAGTGCAGAGGAGTATTTTTTTTATGATGGATGTTTGATTTTAGTTTATGTTGTGGCAAAGGGCCTCTCGGAAGGCAACAGCACTTGTGAGTGTGGCTGACGTTGAGCACCGGCATTCCAATTAGTCGCGCCTCTACTACTTGTGCGTTCGATGAACCGACATAGAAATATTATAAAATGTTTATCTTCCTGGTATTTGCAGCATGCCTTATTCTAACTTTATCTTCGCTTTGATTTGACGAAATCTGATTGCTTCAAAACAGGAAAGAATGGTGTTAACTAACTGTCTAGAGGATGCTCTTACAGTAAGGCTCATTAAGTATGTTGCAAACATGCAGGTTCACATGACACCGTGGGTGACTGCCACTTAATTCTCGGAAAGAGGCAAGTAAATATCTACTTGAGACCGAAGGGAAAATCTCAGCAACTGGACGAGCTCATGTATGCTTTCTTGAAACGTTGATAGGACATTCTTCAACACGCTTTCAAGACTATCTGAGGTTTTTCAATTCCTTGAGGCATTCGTTTTCTTTGCTTCAATTTTTTCATTGTTGCGCTTCTATTCCATGCCTATTTGGTCGTGTGCTTCATTTTATACTTCACATGTGAACGAGCTGATGAACATGTTTCTATATTTGTCCCAGCTTTCATCACAGGAAAAAAAACTAGGTGAGTGAAGCCTCAGTTCTTAAAACCTCCTCGCAAAGTCAAGTTATGTAGTGCAATGTCGCGATAACACGGCTGCGAAATAGTTGATATCTAATGTTGTCTTATGTTGAACACATGGTTCTCTGTAGACCTGTGCTCTTGATGCACTGTTGAATTTCAGTGCTTTATTTTATTATGAATGAAAACCAACTTATGAAGGCTATAAGATTAGGTTTTTTTAGTAGACCTCTTTCGCCCAACTTTGCTTGTGTCAGTTATATTCATATTCTTCCCAGATCGATCCTGTTCACGGGTGATTGCTGATGGCATTGGTAGATAGAAAACTAATTAGGAGAAAAGAGAAAAGAAGGACTCGAATGGTATGGTGGTAATCGCGTTAGCTCCTGGAAAGGGTAATAACGTGTTCGGGCCTCACTTCAGACACCTGCGGTCCGGAGTTTTCCGAATATCTCAGCATCATTGTGATTGTATGTTCACATTTTTGGAAAACCCAGTAGATCTCCATTCAGAAGTAACTTCATAGAGCGAATAGCATTAGGCTGGTTTTGTTAGGAACACTTTTAAGAACTCTGAAGAGATGGCCGAAGATTTCTATTTTACATGATTCTGATTGTTATTACGTCGTTGTTACGCTTTTCTTTAGTGCGGAAGTTCCATGTAGAAATGTAAATTCACCCCAAATTTTCACCTTTCGCCCTAAGTTCTTCTCTCTTAAGAAAAAATTTCCACTTTTGGGCAAAGCAAGGTTGCTTGAAGACAAGTGGTGTAGGTATATTTTTTGATGTCGGAAAACAAAGAGGAGTATTACTGCTCGTTTGTTTTATGTCGCATAAGCTCCAAACCTTCCTTGTATTGAGCGTAAGTATGCTTAGTTTTGTAATTTAAATCTGTGAGAAAAATTTTCGAACCTTCAAGAAGCTTTAAATTCAAATCAGATCTTCGAATTTGCCAAGAAATCGCTTTGCAAGACGCTTTTGAGAGAGAAACTAAACTTCTCGTAACCACCTCGTTGGTTCATTAGCATCTCATCAATGTTGACTTCAATCGTATCTCTGTCGACGGATTCAGAAGGACGATGTGTCCAACTCGTAGAATCGTTTTTTTTGCAGCGACTTCGCAATGGGCGTGTGTGAGTCCATCCAAGCAAAGAGAGCTGGCGAAGGCCTTTTCATATCAAAGAAAATCGACAAAGAATTGAAACCTAAAGATATCGGAACCATGGAACAAAAGTTGCTACTGCTCGGACCAGGTGAAAGTGGAAAGAGCACATGTCTGAAGCAATTGAAGTATGTTTACGTATCCATTGAAATCTATTTGTATGTGAAGGTTTGCTATCCCTCTCAGGAGTATACTCGACATTTTCGACCTGGTTTATATGATTGAAACAAAAAACTGTTCTGTGTGATCTAAATTTAAACAGTAATTCCATTCTTATGCAAGTCATGGGCAGCACTGCCTTCCTGGTGTTCCTCCTGTGTGCTTCATATGAGAGAAAATGAATCGTCTCCACGTCACAGCAAAATAAAAAAAACTAAGTGCTCTCCAACCGTAGATGGACAGTGGGTGGTCGCAGTGGATTATATAGTAGCTCTAGTATAGCCGTTTCTGTTGCCAACAAAACGGTAATAACTCCCAAGTCCGACTTTCTATTAACCTCGGCATTGATTGAATATATCTTTCTACTTCTGTTCAGCAAACACGAGGTGCTATTTTATTTCTTTATTTACGCACAAGCTGACGTTTCGGCGAATTTCGCCTTCCTCAGAGCCTGGAAGGGTCAAGTTGA